AATTGTGATTTGGGTGAAAATTTACAGAGCAAATTCGCTTTCCATACAGCAGTTCACATACACTTTGTCTCATGATGTTGACCACAGTTCACCACAATGCAACAGCTCCCCTCCCACTTCCTCCCAATAGTTACCTCTTCCCTGTGTCCACCCCTCCATGCCCTCCTGCCCCCTGAGCTATCTCCCTGTGCATAAACAGCCCTTCTTTCTCCCAGGATTGTTCTCTCCAAGGAGTGTATCTACCTCAGGCAAATGTTCAACTCCTATGGTTTCTTTGCCTGATGTAGCACTCGATGCTCTCAGAAGTGCTCTTGCCTACATGCATCTCATTAGATTCTCACAGGTCTGTGAGGGAGCTCTGAATAGCCTCATTTGAAGACACTGATATCAGAGAGTTGAGAATCACATTAGAGGTTCATAGAGCCAGATACGCTTTACATAGTAGATGAGCACAGAGGGGCTGGTTTAAGGGGGAGATGTTTCAGAACAAAATCTACAGCCCTGTTTTGACTACAGTAGCTCCTATGAGGACAGGTTCCGTCTTGGCATTGACTGGTCAGGGTAATATCGTAACACTGGAGTCTTTTCTGATGGCATTCTCAGCAGATAGCTCAGAAAAGCCAAGATCATTTATAATGATGATAATTAGAGAAATGGGGCCTGAGAAGGGATGTGAGTAGTGAGAAGTGATCATGTGTCTCACCCATGCTTTGAGGAAGTGTTATAAGGAAGTTGAGACCGGATAAGCACAATTCTGCAGAGTCACTGTAATTGCTAGCTGGGATGTGATTTCAAGGATCCAAAATCTTCCTGCCCAGAAAATATCTCCCAAATATTTTCTCATTTTCCACTTCCCTTAAAAGGTGGTGAGTCTTTCCACTTCACAGGCACAAACTTTAAAATATCAATCTCTTTTGGACACATGTTCTCTCCTGAGAGTTGATCTGGAGGGTAAAAAGGAGCTAGCCGGAGGGCAATTCATTGCCTGAGTGAGAGGACAGACAGTGAATGTTTTTAAAATAAACTGTATCTATTTTTTACAATGTTGTGCTTGGCTGACTCAGACTACAGCCTATTTTCAGTTCTTAAAAACTTTATTATCTAGTGAGACTTTTCATATTCTAGTTTTTGGATTTTGGGGGCGGGGTGGATAGTCTGGAACCAAATAGTGAAAATGAGCCCAAAGGCTTGCATTGGCCGAGAAAGGGATTTCAAGGTGGAGTCGAGCTCTCAGAGCAGTGTCTGGAAAATGCTTTTCTCCTTCTTCCTTATGGACCTGCAGGAGGCCCTGGTGACTGAGATGGCATCTTCTCTGAAGGTCCTTAGCCCTGTCTTTGTCCTACTGTTCCCCCTATGGGAGCAGTTCATACAGGGCCAGAACCTGTCCAGGAAGGAGTTCATGAAGCAGCACCACCTGAAACCAACACTGGAATTCAACAAATACAAATGTAATGACCTCATGAGGAAAATAGAGGCTTTGAAAGACAAGGACTCTCACATCTTTCTCTATACCCCATGGCACCTAATTGATAATATTTGTTTCAAGACTTGGAAAGAGCGGTACAGAAATGTGTATGTATGGGCCCAGCAACCCTTCAAAATACTCTACTGTAAACGGAGGAATTTCAAATATAGATATATAGAGAAAAGAAGCTACAGCCACATTGAATTCCACTGTAGCATGGATGGGTATGTTGATAACATAGAGGACATGAGGGTGTTAGAGTTAATGGATACCTAGAAAGCCTACCCAGCCCCTAGGTTCTAGTAAACTGATCCATGCCCAAGTGGTGGGCCCTGCCTATGCCAACAGTCTTTGCCACTCTCCACTTTGCTCTATATATACCAATGTTTTCAAACTACTTAGTCTTATTCATCATACTGTTTTTTGATACCATAACTTTACCTAAGCTGTTTCTCTTCCTGAAATACCCTTCTATCCTCACTGATTTACTCCATCTCTTTCTTTCTTTTTTTTTTTTTTTCAAGATTCAACTCATTTGGCATCTCTTCTTGACCTACCCAAGACTTTTCGTAATGTTGACTCTCCTTATGCCTACCTAAGTCAAATAATCTTTGCTTCCCTAAATAAACTATGTTATTCCAAATGTGTATGACATTCATATGTGATGCATGCAGAATATGTGTTGTGTGATTGGTATGGGTGGTATGGAGCATGTGTGATGTAGGTTATACTTGGATGTGATTTGTTCTGTGTGTAGGTTTAAGGTGTGCTGTGTGTCTAATGTGTGCGAGGTGTTTTATATTTATGATAGTGTGTGAATGTTTATGTGCTGAGCTGGGCATGAGTTGTGACCAGGTATTACGGCAGGCATTGATTGTGGTGACATACTGAGTCCTACTCAGATTGAGGGTCGGGTTGGGCAAAACTGACTGAGAATAAAGTATATAGCATAGATCCTGGCTCATACATAGAAAGTACTTAGTCAAAATTGATTTTCTTCTTTTTTGCATTCTTTGGCTTAATACTTTAATTTTGGCTTTGATGAAACAACCATGGCAAGTGTCCATCAATCATCTGCTCTCTCTGGCTTAAGAAGGTAGGGATTTCTGACATAAAAAAATAGTAGGCTGTTAGCTGTGAGGAAGCTATAAACTTCCAGAATCAAAAGAACCTTTCTTGCATCAGCACGACTGGCAGGGGTCTCTATTGAATTGTTTCATTAAAATGTCACTAAGGAGACAAGTGTATTTTAGATGGTTTAAGGCATTATGCTTCCTGAAGGCAAAAATATTAAGCAGAAGACAGTAGCACAAATGAATTTATCTGATAATACACATTTTCACTTGAGGAAGAAATAACATAGGGTGGGAATACTTTAAAATGCAACATTCCTCAAGAATGGGGCTTAACGTCATTCATATTGTTGGAAGGAAGACGAAATAAATGGTAGGAGGAAACACTCTGGTTGCAAGTAGGTAGAATTCACAGTAACTGTTTGTAAGTGGAAGTATTCGTTCCTCAGATTGCAGTAACAAAGTACGAAAAATGGGGTGTTCGAAAACAACAGAAATTTATGCTCCCACAGTTCCGGAGGCTAGGAGTCTGAAAACAAGTTGTCTGCAGGGACATGCCCTCTCTGGAGGCTCTAGGGGAAGAACTCTTTTTTGTTATTTTTTGCTTCTTTGATTTCAGGGGGCCCCATCCTTTCCTTGGATTATGGTCTCTGTCACCACATGGCTGTCTTCTCTCTGTATGTGTTGCTGTGTGTCTCTTCTCTTTTTATAGACACCAGGCATATTGGATTAAGGCCCACTCAACTCTACTATGACCTCATGCTAACTAATTGCATCTGCAAAGACTATTTCCAAAAAAAGTTACATTCACAAGTACCAGGGAGTTAGGACATAAGCATATGTTTTTCTGGGACAAAAAAGAGAAAATAAGAAAGTAGAGTTAAGAGAAATATTTGCTTCTTATAATTTTGCCTAGGACAGGTATGGGGAGTGCAGTGCAGTGAATTGCTTAATGTTGTTGTTGTTGTTATGTGCCGTCGAGTCGGCCCCGACTCATAGCGACCCCTCCTTGGGTTTCCGAGGCAGTATCACTACGGAAGTAGGATTGCCCAACCTTCCTTCCGAGGAGTGGCTGGTGGGTTTGAACCGCCAGCCGTCTGGTTAGCAGGCAAGTGTCTTAGCCACTATGCTACCAGAGCTCCCAAAAAATATGTCTCACCTACATTGATCATGTTGTCAGAGGGACCATTCTCTGGAGAAGGATATCATGCTTGGTAAAGTGGAGGGTCAGCCAAAATGGGGGAGGCCTTCAGCGAGATGGATTGACACGGTGGCTGCAACAATGGCCACAGGTATAGCAAGCATTGTGAGGCTGGTGCAGGACCGGGCAGTGTTTCGTTCTGTTGTACAGAGGGTTGCATTATGACTCGGAGCTGACTTGACGGCACCTAACAACAAAATTTCATTTAATATTATCAGTGCTGTTTCTCATCCTCCTGCTGACCAAGGTGCCATCTCTGGGGCCAGCTGGGTGAACATTCTTAATGGATACTAAGTACCTCTTTATCTCAGGTTAGAAATTCTGTCTTTTTCGTTTGGCACTATTAAGTCCTGGCATTGGAATTCCTATGATCATCTGGTGATTTATGTTTAAGCTGTTACCATGACCTGTGAACCTAGGTTGGGCCACCATGTTTTAAGGGCAGTTCCTCAGCTTTGAAATTTCTTAGTGCACCTGGGAGTGAGCAGACATCTGAGAAGTCATCTGTATCGAGCAAACTCACAAAAGATTGAGGTTAATGCAATAAATTTTCATCAGTTATCAATTTACATGTAGGGAATACTGATTGTTTTTTCTCACTTGGTAAATAATGCTTCTAAATGTAGCTTTACACAAATACATCATTCTGAAAGCTTCTTAAATTTTTTTTTTTTTATTAAAGCACTTGCAGATGGTAGTTCAAAACCATATACAAGGAAGGATTACTTTAGGAACAATCCATAGGTGGTAGTTATATTTGTGTGTCAACTTGGCTGGGTCTGATTAAGTGGCTGGGCAGCTGGTGGTAGTTATTCCCCATGATGAGGCTGGCAATCAGTTCCATGGTGGGATCTACCACAAGCAGCTGATTAGCTGCCTTTGGGAGGTGGGCTGCTTTCCGTATATAAGCAGCAGCTTTGGGAATGGTCTGTAACCTATGGCACGCTTGGACCCTGCATGTAGCCATGTCATTGCTCAGCAGACTGCTATGCTCTGCCAGCCTTGGGATTTACAATGGACTTAAGTTAATGGCCTGCTGTGTGATTTGGTAATATCGGGACTATGCCTTTTTACTCGTCAACCTTGGGGCTTCTCAGCCTCAGCAGCCAGCAGCTGTCTGAGTGAAGAAACGCCTCTAGCTCCAGTGGGCGGGGAGCAGGAGGCAGAGCTAGACCCCAAGGTTAAGGGGCTTTCACCCAGCCCCTAGAGTCTGGCACTTTGAACTTGAACTTAAAGCCTCCAAACTGTAAGAAGAAACTCCTGTTTGTTAAGACCATCTCATTTGTGGTGTATTTCTCGTCAGAGCAGTACTAGGCAACCAGAACAGAATTTGGTACCGAGAGAGTGGGGTGCTGCTCTGACAGATATCTAAAATGTGGAAACAGGAGTGGAGTGTGTCCTTGACCCAAGACCCTGGCAGAGAGACCCCGGCGTATGGCATAACAGATGGCAGGAGCAGAGCCAAGAGAACCGGCATGAGACAGTGTCAGCCTTACCAGCCCAGGAGGAGAGAGCTTGATGCCTTTGGTTAGGCGGCTTCCTGGCAGAGTGGGTTGCCTTGGGGCATTAATTGGTGAAGAGACCAGTATAAAATGGAGTAGCAGGTTGGCCGGCCCACGGAGCAAGAAAGCTAAATGTCCTTTGGGCAAGAAGATTCCTGGCGGAGTGGGTTGCCCTCAGGCATTAATTGACAGAAGCGGAGAGACCAAGGAAATGGAAGCAGAGCTGCCTCAGCCTTAAGGGTAGGGCCATGGCCTCTGGGGGTGGAACGACCACAGCCCCTTAGGTTTCAAAGAGCCAGGCCTTCACCAATTTGGTTCTGGAGTGTGGGGCTGCTCATTCATGTGAGCCAGTGGGATGGAGCCACTGCCCAAGAGTGAGGGGGCAGGGCTGCCATACCCAAGAGGGAGAGGAATGGCCACTAGGCCAAGGAGGTGAGGTCGCTACTCAGGAACTAGGGGACTGGAGCCACCCAGTGAGGAGATCTGTACAGATGCCACCCAATGAAGATCTGTACGGATGCCAAGTTGACAAGGGGTGGAATTGTGGTAGTTATGTTTGTGTGTCAACTTGGCTGGGCCTGGTTGAGTGGCTGGGCAGCTTGTGGTATTTATTCCCCATGATGAGACTGGCAATCAATTCCATGGTGGGATCTACCACAAGCAGCTGAGTAGCTGCCTTTGGGAATATGGTCTGCTTATTGTACTTAAGGAGAAGTCTTGGGAATGGTTTCTAGTCTATGGCACGATTGGACCCTGCTTGTAGCCGTGTCTTTGTTGGGCAGTCTGCTATGCTCTGCCAACCTGCGGACTTAAGTTAATGGCCTGCCGTGTGGATTGGTAACATCGGGACTGTGCCTTTTTACTTGTCAACCTTGGGGCTTCTCAACCTCAGCAGCCAGCAGCTGTTTGAGTGAAGAAATGCCTCTAGCTCCAGTGGGCTGGGAGCAGGAGGCAAAGCTGGACCCC